TTATTTTCAGCTTAAATCAACGTGTTCCTACTGGAATGTATAGAGTAATAATCGAAGAAGTCCTTGTGGCAGAAATCAGCTTGGAAGTACAGGGTTAGTTAAAAATACTATTTTATTATTTAGGTTGACCTCAGAGTGGGATAAAATTAGACACTAATTAACAGCTGATCAATTTCGAAATCTTTTAATAAAAAACAATTTTTCATTTATTAAAATCAATAATTCATAGATTATCGGTTTAAATAGAGATTAAAAAATCTAATAGGCAGATTCCAAAAACCGATCAGCTGTTAAATCGATTCCACTATGAATCTAGACTTACACCAACTGGTTATATTCATTAAAGCGTAGCATGTCTGTTTCCACTCCGATATTAAACTGGGGCCCGATTTTATCGGAATAACTTAATTCCAATGATTGGTTATTTGAAAATCGTGACAAGTCCGTTTCCATGTCTTAACCAACAATTTTTTTTAAATTGGTGCATGCGCACGATATATTTTGCAAATATTTGTGGAAACATGGTAGGACTTTACGAAAAAATGGGTCCATACAATATAGGATTCTAAGAAGCACTGAATTGCTAGTCAGAAGACATCGAAAAATAACCTAATACTTTTTATTAGAACTTTCATGGCAATTAGGTCAAAGTAATTTAGAAATTTATTGTAGTATTTTTTTCACTCATAAAAAAAAATGCACTGAGGTTTATAAATTTTTAATAATATTGAGGTGGCCAGTACTAGACCCCAAAAATTAAACTAAAATTCTTACTGGGATAATAATAATAAATTGAGTTGGCTCAGCTTTATCTAACATTCTTCTTAATCGCCATCTAACAGAAGATTTTCAACAAATAAATAAATAATTGAACATAAAAAAATTATTTAAATTATTTAGGTGACATTGTCAATATTGAGGCCTCTGATGATAATAGAAAATACGTTGAGTTTGATGTAGGCAAATTTAATATCAACGTTTCCATTGATCAGATTCTAGTTTACTATTTGAAAGATTATTCTATGGTAAGAAGGACCAGTGAGGAAGCTGATTTAAATGGCAACAAATTGATTGTAACTCTTAGAAATTTATGGTATCAACCAGGATTATATGAAGTATATATTCCTAGACTAGGACCAATTTTCAGAATTAATGCTACAGCCATAAGTATACAATATACATATATATATAATGTTAGAATTTACTATCTCATTTTACTTACAATGGTTCTGCTAAGAAATGCTATTTTTTTTAAAAATAAAATTTACATCGCAAAAGCATCTTATTGCAAAATGTTTAACTTATTCTTAGAAATTTTTTTATAGAAGAGAATGAGAAGATTAAGATGGAAAATCCTATGAGATCTAGAAAGCAGGGATTTCAGTATTTCTATCTGCAGTATTTATCGAGGAACAATATTTAGATATTTTGGATTTAAATTATTAATCTACTGTTTAAGTTACGACACAATCCATTATTTTTATATTTCGTTAATTTATTTTAAATATCATGTTTTATTTTAACGTTTTAATTTATTTTTATTAATAAATGCATTTCATATTAAATAATTTTTCAACTTTATAATTTTAATAATATTTATTTTTTAACAGTGGCGTAGCTTAAAAAATTATTTTTGGGGGTAGTTTTTAATGAACATTCAAATAATTTTTGAGATAATTTCGTTATAGATATTATTTATTAAACTTTATAATATAAAATAAATTTTAAAATATAGAGATTTTTATATATAATGTTAAAAACTTTATTGTAAATAAACTATATATATAATGGTAGAATATATAATTTAACAGTTATGCCTCATGACGATATTATTATCAAAATATAAATAATAATTTCTCTTCTCTTCTCTCTCTTCTCTTCTCTTCTCTCTCTCTCTTCTCTTCTCTTCTCTTCTCTTCTCTTTCTTCTCTTCTCTTCTCTTCTCTTCTCTTCTCTTCTCTCTCTCTTCTCTTCTCTTCTTCTTCTCTTCTCTTCTCTTCTCTTCTTCTTCTCTTTTCTTCTCCGATTGAAAATAGTATAATGAATTGCTAAATTTTTTAAGAGTTAATATAAAAATTATATAAATATTATCTCACGAATAAATTTGAATTATAAATTATTAGTGAATTAAAATATAGATTATTATAATATTAACTTAATAATTTAATCATATTTAAAAAAATTTGATTAGAAATATATAAAGAGAGGTCTACTTTTCTCCAAGATTTTTAATAATTCATCTAAGATTCAAATTTTTATCTAAGAATAATCTCCTTATAAATAATTTTATAGGACTAATCAATATAAATGGTTTTAACCGTTACTATTTTCTTAAATGATTTAAAGGTTGAAAAAGACCTTTCATTAGTCCAGGCTAATATAAAAGGTAGCTTAAATAAGTTACTAATATTTCGATACTAGGCACACGAATCTAAAATTGCAATTACGCATGATCAGAAAAATAAGAAGATTAAAAAGAAAGAAAAAAGAAAGAAAGAAAGAAAGAAAGAAAGAAAGAAAGAAAGAAAGAAAGAAAGAAAGAAAGAAAGAATGTAAAGTGTGATTTACCAATCAACCTTATAATAATAAAAATTAGTTTTATCTTTACACGGTAGAAATAATAAATTTCTTTATATTCACCAAAAAAAATTCAAATTCAAATTTTTTAGACAACAATTATGGTTCCTTTTTGGGAAATAAATTTTAGAACTTTTTTTTAATTATGTAGAAAATTATAAATTTATAAATTATAATTTTTAACTATCATGTAAAATTTTATTATTTGTAATATATTTTTTTATAATATAAATAAAGTAATTCCACTACAAAAAAAAATTATTTATTATTTTTTCAGGTTTTTTATTTACTCGAAATTTGTATTTCCTTTTATTTTGAATTTAGAAAATTATCAGCTAAGAGATGGAGAATCACTGGATATTAGAATAAGTAGGTATGTCGAAAATTACGATACAGATATTGAAGTGAGCCCACCTTCCGTATTCGGTGTTCATGCCTCGTATAATCTCATCGAGATAACTTTGAAAACCGCCTTTACCCCGGATATCAAGGGAAGATACCAGATAACATGTGATAACCTAAGGCATACCATCAATCTCTTCCATTTTTCAGGTATTTAAATATATTCGATATATTTAAATCTTCTTTTTCTTTTCTATTCTTCTTTCATTCATTTACTTTTCCTTGTTTTTTGGCATTTTGTTTTTATCTCACTTAAAAACAAAATTAGAACTTTCGAATTAGTGAATAATTCAAAATATTAAATAGTGCCAAATAATCTAATTATTTATTATTATTTTTTTTTCTTCTTTAAAAAACAATTTACTACGCATCCACTAGGCATATCAAAATCGATTCAAAGATTCATACAATTATTTAAAAAAATGTTATAATATTATGGTAAAAGGAACACAGAAATTAAATGTAGAAGATGGCAAGGAATACAACAAAACCTTTATATTTGAAGATGGAAAAGTAATTGATGTATCGTTAAGAGCATGGTTTGAAGATGCTGGAATTCATCATATCGAACATAACTATGAAATCCAATATCTGGAGCTTCATGTTCACAGTAAGACTTTAATTTATGAAAAAAATGCAATATATAGAGTCATAAGCATGGCCAGGGGTGGGGAGATAATATTAATATGTTGCTTTTTTGTGAATATAATTTTAAACTAATAAAAAAATATTCATTTTGGCTCCCATCCCCATTCACTGTCGCATTCCTTTTTTTCAGACGCCTTCCTTTTTTTTCAGACGTAACGGTAATGTTATTTTTGAAATAACGTTTTAAGCGCTATAGAAAATACATAATGATTCGGATGGAAATATTTACTAGAGAGAAATGGGTATATTAAGGATAGACGATGAAATTTTTAAGCTGGCCTAATATTGCTCTAATATAAATATTGTGTGTTAGCCATTTTTAAAAATTGGTTAGAATTGAAACTTCTAAACAACACTAATAAAGGGATAAATCGCAAAGATAATTTCAACACACCCTACAGTTTATTATGATCCAAGGAGAAGAAAACTTATCATAGGCGTAGACAATCTTGGATTTAACTGACTAATTGATTCGTTTATGCTTATATAAGAATTTTTAATTGAATACTAAATAGAGTATCGTATTGCTTATAATTTTTAAAACTTAGAAACTTTGGAAATATTTTACGATCGTAACGAGAAGAAACCAGAGATTTTTCTGATAAAAGACAATGGGATTGATGACGGCAAATCGCAGGTGATTGTAAGGAATGGAAATAAGGATAAACATGATTTCAGTATCAAAAATGTAGATGGAAATTTATATTTAGAAATTAAGCCGATGATTAGAGATACTATATCCATCGATATTAGATTCGGTGATTACAAGATCTTGACTGTTCATCTGGCTTCTCAAGGTAATTCAATAATAAATTTTATTTATGCCAATCTGTAAAATAATCTACAAACATGACGCGTGTCATTTAATTGTATTTATATACTTTAAAAATGGCTAAATGACGGCTAAATATAGCGCGTACCGGAGAAAATCCGTTAACATTAAGGTGAGTTAATTTATATTAGTTTTTTTTTAAATTTTGAGCTGTTATATTTTTAAGCCCGAGACCGAAGTGATAATTTTCGGCTAAAACCCTGGTTTTAACCCATCTTTTAGCCTATCTCAAAAATTAGCTTAAACAGCTAAAGATATAGTAATTATTAGCCAACTATAGTTGTGTGTACCTGGAATAATCTTTATGAAAAATCATTTCGAGATAATTTTATCAACGTCTAAATAATAAATAATTTGGAGGCAAATCCTGCTTACCCCTCTCCACAATTATTTTTAATTCTTACTCTCTTTTGAATATATATATGATTACCCCCCCCCCCCCAACTCACACTCTTGTTTATGTATACCGAATTATTAGATGGATATTGACGAAGAAACATTATAATAACAAAACTAATAAAATCATAAACTTGATATTTAGAAACTGTCATTCTAGAAAGCAAACGGGATTCGGCACTTTACTTAGAAGGCACATGTAATAGCTCAGAAATTGAATGGATCTTCCCTAACAAATCCAAGCGGAGCATAGAGGAGCCAATGAATCGTCTTATTATCAGAGCAAATGACGGATTTGATGGTTTGACAGTTGTCAAATGTAGGAACAGGCCAATCATGGCCTGGTTAGTAATTTCCTTGGGTAAAACTAATTTTCCTTACACTTCAAGCTAATTTTAAATATATATTGGGAATTTATTATGTTGGATTATATTTAATGGTTCACTAAATTTTTTTAATATGACAAAAAGTTATTTATCCCATTAAATTATAACTATTATTTGATTTTGACGTTACTTAAAATTTTTTATTTGTCGCCCTCATATCCTACAATATAATTTTTTGCATTTTTATATCTTTTTGTATCAATGGACTCTTATTATTTTACTTTCTACTTTCCTAGGCAAATTTCTTGGAAATAAAGATTACGGTTTTATTTAATTCTCAGAATATTTATTTTAGGGTTAATCTTTAACTAACATCTCTCTAATTTAGGTCATTTCCAGTTTCGTCCATTAAGAATGAGTTACACAATTATTATTATTATTAAACCAAGAAATTATCAAGTAATATATATATATATATGTAAAGCAGTAGGAATGCGAAATGATCTAAGACTTAAACAACCTTTAAAATTAACCCGGACATTTAAAACAAACACAATTCTAACTTGCATCAAATGCTAGGATTATTAGCAGGGTTGCCCATAGATTTTTTACCAGGATGAAACCTATATGTTTTTTTGGATATGGCTAATAAAAAAAAGCTTTGGTTATTTATATCTGGAAAACAATGAGTGATGTGAATGATATCATAACTAGATGAACAATTGATGATATTAAAAATAAATAAAAATTTTAACGATGGAGAGTTTTTCCTTTAGAAGTGAACATTATGCCCGTTTGACTAGGACATATGTTCGTCTATAATAATTATTCAAAAAACAGATTATATCTGTATGTATATAAATAGAATATGTTTCTCAAATATTATTTCTTATTTTAAAACATCATATTAGAAAATATGAAAAAATCATTTTTTAACGCCAAAATAATGCTATTATTAAATAATTATTAATAATTTACTAAATTCATGACGCTACTCCTAGACTATCTGTCAAATTTCATAACAATGACATTATATGTCTCATAGTCACATATTATCAAAATACGCAACTAAATCTCAAATAAATCTCTAACATTTAAGAAAAAATTATATACATTATAAAGATGGAATACTAAGATGATAATAATTTAGTAGTAGCTTTACAATACTTTTCTGAAAGTATACATTGGTATAAAAAACCATTTAAAACAAATTAAAGTTTAAATATATTATTAAATATATAATATAACAATAAAAATAATAATAAAATTAAAATATTAATTAGAATAATTGTAATAGAATCTTCTAAATAATGTTTTTCAAGCTAAGCTTTATATCTTGTGATGATGGTCCTGTGATGCGTAGTTCATTGCTATACGATAATATAGCTTTTAACATTGAATTTTGTAATCAAGACTTGTGTTATTTTCGTGGTTAATAAATGTGGCCTTAGGTTAAATTTAAAAATAACATAATATGCCCACTTAACAATAATATTTTATTAAAGTTGTGATAAGTATAAGTAATAAATAATTAATATTATATTATTTTCAAGGGACGGAAGATCTAACGTTGAACATGACAACCAATACAGCAATACTAACAAATGCTAAAAGATTCCTGACACAAGACAAGTGTTATCATAAGTCGTTAAGGATTGAAATGGAGAATACAGAAATAGATGCTAAAGATGGTTTCAACTGTGATTCTAATACTCTAAAATTAGTATTCAAAAGTTTCACGTTAGATTTGTTTAAGAAATCTCTTTCGTTTCCGCTAAATATTGAAGGCCGTCATGTAGTGAATATTCGCTTTGTTTAAATATTAGTGACTTCCGGATAAACCAAACTTTATTTGATTGTTATAATAATGTCATAATAATTTGTAAATATAGCAATTTTATGGGTTTAAATTGAAATCATAAAATTTTGGGGAATTTTGATAAACATGAAATATTGTTTTAAATAAATAAAAAATATTTCAAGTATTATAATATAGGAATCGTTTTTCATATACCTTGACTTTGAGATCAATTATCACTAAAATAATTATAAATAATAGTATATTTAAAGTTATGAAAAGAGCTAAGAATATAAGACCTATATAAATCATTTTAAGATATAGTACACGGCATTTGATATTGATAGCGTAACTTAAAGATTTTGATTTCTGTAATTAATCTTAGTTATATATTACTTATTTCAACAGCAAAATTTAATTAATTATTCTATTATTATATGTTTATGTAGCAACAAAATTCCCCCCAAAAAAACTGAAAAATTTAACTTTAACCATCAAAAATATATAATTAAATATGAGTTAAAGAAATTAATTTTAAAATTAGGCATTTTTAATTTAACCCATCATATTGATAAAATATTTTATTTTCCAATTTTTTATAATCCATATTTTCTAATCATCTTCTCCGCGATATAAATTCAGCCACCATACCCGCTAATAAGATTTGGGATATGTTGGGATTTAGTAGCTCGTAGAACCAGAACATTCGGTATAGTGATCTCATTTTATGGCGGTCACTAAGAATATAATTACTGTTTCAAATATAATTATAATAATGATAACGATAAAATTTATAATTTTAAAAGTAAAATTAAATTTACTAAAGCAGCTATCTCTACTCTCAGAAATATAAAATTCAAAATCTAAATGTTAATCAATATTATTTATCCTTTTTTGTGAATTAATTTTGTTTTTATTGTTTAATATAAAAGTTGCATGTTTTGTTTCGTAATCCATGGGGATTCGGAATCTCTCAATTTTAAATCATTTACTAATGAACAAGAATAGATAATATAGAATAAATTGTAGAATGTGGAATCCGTGAAGATAAGGAATGTTAATAAATAACTTCTTTATTTTCAACTAAGATCAAAAAAAAAAAGTGAAAGGTTATCATAATTATTTAAAGTATATATACATCAATTTAATATTAAAATAAAAATCATTTATATCTTTTCAAAACATCAATTTAATATTAAATATAGTGTAATATATCGTTTTAAGCCTTAAGTCTTCTACAATACAAAATCCATTAATAAACAATGTTACTTGTTTTAACATTTACTAAGGGCGATTTTTGGATTTTAAAACTCTGATTTTACAGGAATGTAGGAATACAATCTCATATATGTAGAATATCTTAATTTTTCCGTTAGTCAGTACAGGGGAGTATATTAACATCGATTGCAATACAAAAATATTCTGAAAATGAAACTATATTTGGGGAAATCGTATACATCTATTATGTAGTTCAACATTCAGAGAGCTCTATATATCATTACAATGTGGGTCGAATCTTTTTCTCATGATATTTAACGAATACAATATAAGTGCAAACCTTACTTGTGGCAATAAAAATGAGCAAGGCTTTCACAATTGTTTTGGTACCTGAATCCTAGAAGTCAATTCTAGACGATTTGAAAGATGGGCATCCATATGCAATTCTAACAGATGTATCTATTAAGGGAAATATTTCCCTTGATCTTCCGCTATTTCAACAATAAGAACATTTCAATAAAACTGTTAAAAAATTGTCCTCAGATAGGGAAAAATCCAACGATGTAGTTAGCCCAATGTTATTATATCATTGAGTTAGCCACATAATATAGCTTCAGGTCAATGATTGCATGCCAGCTTTCTGTGCTGATAATGCCTCTGTAAATTTTAAGCTAAAGTTACCGAATTGAAGCAGCATAAATGAATTAATACCAATTGGCTGTATATGCCATATATACTACATAATTCTTGCAAGAAGGCAATGAATGTACTATCTGTGGATGTCGAAATAATTGTGATGAAATGTTTTAACGAATTTAGTTCAACTAAAAGAGTTAATGAATTAAAAGAGGTGGTGAAGTGGTCTGACTTGGAATGGTGTGAGTTGTTGCGATATATACCTATCAGGTGATTGTCATTAATACCTGCCTTCGATAGAATTTTAAAATTTTACAAACCCTTTAAAAAAATACTTCTTAAATAAAGATTTTAAAGGCTGTCCTAAAATTTTGAAAAAATTTTTCGAGTATGAAATGGCAGAAGCATATTTGGGATTCGTTTCACATGTAGGAAATCTACTGCATGCAGTTAATATTCAGTTGCAATCAGAATATTCTTTATTAAATATGAATCACAAAATCATGCTACAGCTCTGTTCATCTCTATAGTTAAAAATTGATAATAAATTTTATGACGCTATTGCTAAAAATATTATATTAAAATGTTCAAATAATACTCTAATTAATACATTTTTAAATGAAGCAGATATTTTTATTAAGACAATTTTAGAATATTTACAATCAAAATTTGATTTTAATAACTCTATTAACAATTGTATAAATATTATGACATTGGAACAGAAAACCATCAATTGATGGTTTTTATAATTTAATAAATATATTAAAAATACCGAAAGACATTGATGTCTTGTTTGAAGATATTGTAATTCAATCTATTTTTTATGATTCGCCAAAACTTCTCCTTACCTCATTCTAATGCCTCATCTGAGAGCATTTTTAGTCTGAAGAGGAATGCCTTGGAAAAGGAAAGAAATCGGATTTAACAACATTAAAGAACGAACTAATGGTTAAATAATGAATAATATGTCATTCCAAGAATTTTATAATCTCGATAACGACGGTAAACACTTAGTTCTATTATTTAAATTTCAAATAAAATATAATTAAATTTTAGCAATGGCGCCATAAAATTTATTGTCAATTTTTAACTGTAAAGATGGACACATCTGCAGTATAATTTTGTGAATCTTTGTAAGATTCTTCTGATTGCAACTGCACATTCTAGCAATTCCTAAATATACCTCTTCCATTCATTATTGAAAAAAATTTTCAAAATGTTAGGACTATTTATAAAATATTTTTTAAAGGTTTATAAAATTTTAAAATTCTATCGATGGCGGGTATTAGGAACATATCACAACCAACATTGCGCTGACTCACTTCTGTAAATACACTCTGATTTTACCAAATTCACTGAGGCATTATCAGATCAGAAAGCTGACTTGCAATTTATTGATCATCTCGAATCTGATATATTTACCATTATATGGTTAGCTATGTCTTTGGATTTTTCACTATTTGAGGGGAAAAAATTTAATAGTTTTATTGAAACGACCTTAATTTTGTTGAAATAGCGAGATCAAGGGAAATATTTCCGTTAATAGATGCATCTGTTAGAATTGCATATATATGCCCATCTTTCAAATCGTCAAAAATTGACCTCCTGGATTTAGGTCTTAAAACATTAATGATAGCTTTGCTCATTTTTGTTCTATAAGTATAATTTTCATTTATATTAGAGTCGTTATTATGGAAAAATGATTCTACCAACATTGTGATGATAAGTATCTCTGTGAATGTTGTACTACAAGATAAGTACAATTGCCGCAACTGTAGTTGCATCTGTATTATATCTTATTTTGGAGTATAATATGTATTTAAACGTGATACGTGATAATTAAGCGCCTATCCCTATAATGTTATACACATACGGTAGATTTCCAATTGCTGTCGTTTTGAGGGACATTCGCATAAAATATATTTTAAATTGTAAAATTAAAATCGTTTTTTTTTATATTTAAAAAAGATCGTTGGTTTTTTTTTTATAAATTAATATATTTTAATTAATCAAGATGTTATTGTATTTTGAAAAATAGTTACCGACTTTGTATTTATATAAACTAATTATAAAAAATAATAGGCGGATAATTAAGTCAATTCAAAATCCCTGCCGAAGGCCGCCCGCAAAAATTTTTTTTAGCAATTTTTATATTTCTACCACAATTTGAAAATGTTGACCTGGCAACCCTGTTCCAAATCCGGGTATTGTTACACTTGTCACAAAAATCATAAAATGTGGCAAGCCTTTTATTATATAAGATCATAAAATAAATTTATAAGAAGTTGATGTTCTAGAAAATTAGAGTAGCGTATGTGATTTATTTATAAATAGATCACTTGGTGGAAGAAAAATCTTTTGCTAGGATCTACTGTGTCAGATGTTATTCCCACTACCACATCCATCTGTAATTTTTCAATTTTGAAAAATATCCCTCATAACGATCTGTAATCATTTATACTTTCGATGCTAGGAGTAAAGATAGCTAATCTACATCATAGCTGATGTACCAGAATCTCGAACATAAATGCCTTGGAATTAAAGACACCTGACATAAATACCCACGGACAAAAAGAAAGACAAATACGCTCGAACAAAAATACTTTAATTTTATGAAAATTTTTGAAATGCTTAGTTTTTTTTAAAAAAATATTGGATTTAAGTTTTACCAAATGTAGTAGGTTTGATCTCTAATAAAATTAATATTTCTCATCATCTACTATAAACATTAACTTTCCTCTCTGTGAGCTCCAAACCAATCGATATGCGGTTCATTAATTGATATCAGGACTTAGTTTGGTTCAGCAAAAAGAAAAGAAACTTATTGGTTGCTAATCTTTTTACCTACTATAGTGGAGTTTGGTATCTAATAAAATTAGTATTTCTCCTCATTAAATATAAACACTAACCCTTGTCTTTGTTGCATAACCCTAAGCTATCTACTAACGTGTTTGACGAGCTTGGTATTAGATCTAAACCTGAACCGCCTAGGTTGGTGTTATAAAAAACAGCTTCAAAGAACTTTTAGATTTTACCGAATGTAGTGAACTGTTCTAATTGATCATATAAACGTAACCCTATATTTGGTGCATAAGCGTTAGCTAAAGGCTAACGTGGTTCTCGAGCTTTGCATCGTAACTTAGCCTAAACCGCATGGTTTGGTAAAAAACTATAAAGAAACATGCTAGCGGCTTCACTAGATTTTACATAAATGTAGTGGGTTTTACTTTTGCCCAACTATGGGCCAGATTTATATCCTAGATTCATATCTTCTACTATAATTTTACATGTATAATAAAAAAAAAATATCGAACATAAATTTATAGTTTAACTCCAAGGTTTTACTCTCAAAGGAATAAAAAAAATATTTAAATCCCCCTATCTAAATACTTTTTTAAAAATTTTTTTAAAATATTATTTTCATTTTAAGGACCTGGCTAACAAATTCCTCTGATTCGTATTCATTGGATCAAAATTTTGTAAAGCAGTTAAAAATAAATTTACATAATGTTACGAAGTTACATTTTTTTAAAGTAACGTTAACTGAATCGTCAGGGTGATCTGCATCCAATCTAATTTTTCAAGCCCGGCCAGAAATTTATTTTTATTTGCCACGAAAAGCCCTACTCGAAATATAAATTATTTGTCCGCTAGACCAGAATTTATTTAAATACAAAAAAATTTAATTATTTTTTTTGATTGTAAAAAAATATTAGCAAATTGTTTCTTAAATATCATGATATTGGGGCAAAAAAGAATACCACTGACTAGTATTGTTAAAAGCCGGTCGATTTTTCAAAATGGTCCTGATTTTAGCTAAAATAATATTATGTAAACTTCTAGATTTGGCAAATAGTCCAAGTATTTCTTCCAGCTATGAGAAAAATAGACCTACATAATGTTATTTTGGTTATAATCTTTATAGGGCACTTTATATTTCAGTCAATAGTCATTTAAACTAACGGCAATTTTTCACAGTCTACATATATTTTTAAAAAAACTTAATCTCGTAAAATATTTAGCATAACAAACGAAAACCGCGAATCTTATTTCTTAAACAAAAACTTCAATAAGAAATTTTTAAACATAATTATACTTGCTTTTTAGGTACATTTTGATTATAAAATTAAGCTCTTAGAGCCTTCGATACTTTTAATATACATTTTTATTTAGTCATTTTATAAATTTTTACATATTTTTATATAGTTGTTTTAATATTTTAGTGTTTTATCTTCTTTTTAAAATTATATAAATTATTTTGTAAATTTTTCAAAATCAACCTGAAACGGAAGTTTTAAGAACACTACTATTAAAAAAAGGTGCATTAAAAACTTGAACAGCAAGTTTTTTCTTTAAAGTATTTAATAGCTATTATTTGATTGATCTAACTTACATTTTTTATCGAATGCAATATTTTCTTTGCACAATTTATTATATAATTCTTTAAGCTCATATTCGAGTAAATCAATCCTTCAAGCTATTGCAGTTTGTATGATGCAATATGGGAATTCCAAATAACTAAGGATATTCCTAATTCTATTTATTTATTAATCAAACATGCTCATTCTTTTACACATAATATTGGCCAGCGTCTACATGACAGGATTTTCACTGGATTCAAACCCCCTTCAAAAACCTTTGCCTACCCCCCCCCCCCCCCTAAAAAAACCTGCCGCCGCGGCGGTGTCTCTTTATCATTATTTTCACCTATTTATTTATTGATACTCTTTTCAAGGAATTTATAAAGAATAACTTAAATTAATCTATCTCTACTACCAACTATCGATATTTTATGAATATAAAGAATTTATTTTTAAATAATAAATTCAATTAAAACCTCCATTATTTACAATGAATTTATTATTATGGCATTATGAGCTTGCTGAAATATCTAATTAAATTACATTTAAAAGTATAGTTTATTTGGAAAACAATGAGTATGATTGTTTGCAATATATAGATTTGGTCGATGAATTGTATTATAATAATATTATAATAAAAGTATTAATTTTTACAGCAATAAATTTTGTCCTATTTCATCTCAAAATTTATAAGCCCCCCAAAAATTTATCCTACCCCCATTCCTACCCCATACCCCCTCAAAAAAATAGGATGCAAACTGTTCCTACCCTTCTCGCTTATATAGACGCTGATATTGGCTCAAAATATTGAAAGTTTTTTTATTTATATTATATATTTAATAGGATTTTATTAATTACAAATAACCAAGTATTTATAAAATCATAAGAAATAATATATTTTATTAGGCATTCATTATGTGTTTAATATTTTTATTTGACATATAATTTATCTTTTTAAAACTATCAATTTTCACAAAATAACATAATAGAATGTATATGTAAAAAATGATAATATACATATAAATATTATACACTACAATATTTTTCTCCCAAAATAATTTTTATCATTTGACATATCTTGTTGAACATCGCACAATACTGGAAAGATAATTTTGCATTACTTAGGGGTCGGTCAAACTTATCAATAATTACGTTTGAAAAAATGTATCGTAAATTATTAAAATTGAAGATAGGGTCTTTGAATATTAGTAAAGTTAATTGCTACATAACAAATGCATCCCTTGTTCGAGAGGAAGGTTTATTGATATTAATTATACAATTATTTAATTCATTTAATCTAAGATTTCGGAAATTTAAACTTGGATGAAAGTGCTATCAAGAATAATCATGGTTAGATTATAACATATGTTTTTTAAAGTGAGTAATTTTATTGAAATAGATCTATCTACAACATTGGATTCTATTGAGGCTGAAAAATTATCAGAAACAAATAAAAAATTCTTCAAAAAAAATAGTCCTTATTGGTATATGTTTCAAATTCGAAAATTAATTAACACAAAACAGGTGCCCATACACCTTGTAAATTGATTTTAAATTAAAATATTCACATCACAGCTAGATAAAGCATTAGAAATGTTTGAGATTACTATGATTAAGGAAGATGGTTTGCCTCCAATACAAATGATAAAATATCCATTAACACAAATTTTTCAGATTTTAATTAATGGTTGTGGGCATTCAGGTAATTTGAACAAAGCCTTCCAATTGTACAAAAAGGTAAATTTATAAGTTTTTGATAAAAAAATATTACCCTTAAAATAATTGAGATTATATTAAACCATAAACTAGAACAGTTTTATAAACCTTTAATATTTTTTTAATTAACATTAAATTCATTTATATTAATTTATCTTCCTTTTATGTTTTAAAAAAAACATATGATTATAGATGAAAGAATATGGACTTGAAGTTGATACATCTGTTTATACAAGTTTAATAAATTCGTGTGCAGAATGTCATGATAAAACTATCGGTCTGCAAAAACTTCAAGAAATAAGGGAGCATTTGGATCAAAAAGTTAATTAAAAAATTCCCTGAAGATGTTTTTATAATTATAAATATCTATCTATATTTATTGGGTATAGAGGTTTTTTTTTAAATATAAGATTAGAATCTATCTTTAAAGAAATGACTTTTAAATGAAATAAGTTTATTTCTCCTTGATAATAAAATAACCAAATCAAATTTGATTAGTAAAATCAGGAATGCATACAATCCTAATGTTACAGGCAGAGGTTTTGTATTGGCTATATATAACTTTCAAAACCAATACCCATAAAACAAACATTACATTACACAAGCGATTATAATGTACAGAAGTTTTATTTTTTAAATTATATATTTTATAGTCATTTGTAACTATTTTCCCCACCCAGGAAATGTTAGTATTTTAAAATCATTGTATTTTAATTTCTATGCATTAGGAATTGATTATTATAAATGTTCATTAGATTTTTTTAAAATATGAATACAGATGGGCAATAGTTTTTAGAACATGGCATTAGATGATATGTCCATAAAATTAAATCGTGGGTCAATTACAGAGTTGTTATAAGATACTTTTTTAATGGATCTAGATACAGATACATCATCTAAAATAATATCTAGATACAGATATTTTAATCAAAAATCTATCTAGATACAGATACCACATTTTTATATCTAGATACAGGATCTAGATACTTGTATCTAGATTCTTTAACAACTCTGGTCAATTATTACTAGCCCAAATAATTCTGATTTTTGAGGAAATAACTGTTAAGTATACTATGTATACTAATATATTATATTTAAAATTAAATCTACATTCCACAGAAAGAGTTATTTTATATATTCATATATATTCGTTAGCAAACTTGGCTGGATACAGAAAATTTTTTTATTCGATCTAGTGCGCAGCAGGGAAAATATTAAAATTCTTTACATTCCTAGTGTTGAAAAAACATTTTCATATCTTATTTAAAACAAAAATCAAAAAAAATAATTATAGAAAAGGAGAAGTCAAATGGAGATTTTATGGGTTAATTTAATAATATAACTTTTTTTTTGGTAGTATATAGATGATACCGGTCTATAATATTATTAGTTGATGTTGTATCTGTATATGCTTAAATAATATTGGCTAATTTCCGATACTGTATCTGTTTCATAGATATATTTTTATATAAAGTACATATATATATGCTTTTTCTAGATACTGTTTAAAAAGTATCTTCTAAATAAAACTTCTAAATAAATAATATTATCATAATAACAATTGTCCTCAAAATCGGTGGCGTAAAATGCTTCATAATTTTAAAACAGTTTTTTGATACACACTCATCTTTACTTTTGGTTCTGCATCCACACATACCAATTATAAATGTGTATTTTGAACTTGAAAGGAAAGAAATAAGAAAAGAATAGAAAATTTTTTAAAATGAAAGGAATAGAAAAGAAAAGAGTTAACGATGTTCAAAATAAATTTGTTTTTTTTAAATAAACAACTTTTTAGGACATTCCGCTCAATCGCTTCCTCTATAATTCCATGATAAAAGCGTATGGTAGGTGCGGAGATGTGGTGCAAGCGTTCGCTTTGGTAGATTCGATGAAGGACGATCCATCCACGAAGGTCGGCAGGGACACCTTTGTACAATTGTTACAGGCATGTTTGGAGGATAAATCTAACGGGTTTTTCCTGGCTTTGAAAGTTTTTTTTTTTAAACAATGAAATAAAACGTAAATAATAAGGATTCGAACTATTCGTTTTACTTTCTCCATGTTCGATTTTAAGTAAGCATGCCCAATGTCTTAGTTCGTATTGCCCCATGCCCATACAAACGGGTGGGTGTGGGAAGAGCTATTTACCCTATATAAATTTTAAATATGGGTGGTAATGAGGGGCTAGCCAATGGGAGGTCGCCCTCGTATACATTGTACTGTTATGTAGACGTTGCCCCATTGTATAAAAAAAATGATTTGTACAGGGGTAACTTTTAAAAACCGACCACGAGCAAGTATTTACCGGGTTTTAAATATCGGATTAAGTAGGCCCGATTACGATTATTCGTTTTTGTAGAATATCCGGGATGGCGAATATCCGAAAATTTATCCCACCCTTATGTGAAAATGATTGGTAAATTATTTTTTTGAATGAAAATGTTTTTGGATCATAAAATTTTTTTATATCTTCAAAAAAAAATTATTCAATTTTTCTTTTTCATCATTTTAAAAATAATTTTAAGGAATGCGATCCGATGTGATTTCCAAAAAAAAAAGATTTTTTTTAAAAAATTAGTTACGACTTACTACATCCGGTTCCCGCCAAATTTTAAAAATCTTGAAAGTTTAAGTGATGGGGGGGATTAGTTTTTTGGATTCTTCGCAGTTTCGAGACTCTGATCCTATTTTATGGGTTACTTACCGTTCAACCGAACCCAAAGAATTTTTTTATATCGATTAACTGACCTTACACGAGCCTAAGACATTAGATGGATGGAACTAATAGAAATATCAGGAATTAGTGATATCCGATAATCCTCTTCTCCTTTTCCGTTTAATGGCGATTTCCGGGTTTACCCAGGTGGGCCAGTTTTCCCTCTGATTTAATCATTAGGAAATTTTGTAGCAAGATTTTTTACAATCGGATGATCTTCCTGACACGGCCACAATGAAAAACTGAGTGACATGTTTTCAAAAATATGCTGTTTTTCGAAAACCTAGATAATAATAATAGATCGAATGTTTAACATTTATTATAAACATGTTTTTATTTTAAAAAAAATCCATATTAGATGCATAAGAATCATTCCCATAAAATGTCTATAATTTTTAAAATACATTTGTTTTTTAGTTACCCCCCCCCCCAACCCTTACCCCACCCCTGAATAATTTTGAAAAATATCACTTACAATTTTGTCATGTGATCAATGATATTTTATTTACTGAAAAGATTGATTAAAATTTATTGTTTACCTACAGGAATAAAAATTAATTTTAATTTGAAACAATAAGACCAACCATTTTTTGTTTATTATCTAACTCTTTAAAAATAAATAAATATCTTTATAAGGTATGGAAACAAATGAAGATTTACAATTTTATGCCCAATACGCTTCATTACAACACCCTGCTTAGATGCTTAAGAGATTGCGACGTAGAACTGCCCGAACGCGTTCACAAGAAGGGCCATCATAGCGTGACCTGGAACGCGGAACTTTTGACGCAAAATATGCTACGAGAATCGCGGCTCTTGAAATATATCTTGGATACAAGGAAGCCAGCCAGCGAGAAATCGTCTTTGTCCAACGGCTCTAGTGATAACGACCTCGCTCATCAAGCCGAACCAGGTGATTTTACTGGCGTAATTGGAGATATTCCTGGAGTTCCCGTCGGAAATCGCGGAGAGACCCGCATAGATCACACGGAATCATCAATTTTGCCGGAAGAACCTGGAGAGTTAATTGCCCAAAATGAATCGTTGAGTGAATTAATACCCTCCGAGACGCATGTTTATGGCGGAAAAATCGGAAATCTGGGAAATGAAGGTATTTATTCATCTAATCACCATCCTAATGATTCGCCCAATATTCCTGCATTATTTATTGATGACGCTTATTTAGTCCATGCTGATTCAACTTCCTTGACATGCCTGTTAGACAGTTCAGACCTCGAAACAGATGTTAGAAACCATTTTGACTCTTTCTCGAAAAAACAACCCCCCAAAGTTGTTTGGCAGGGTGATACTGACACGCAGGGCTTGAGCAATATCGAAAAGGATAGGTGGTCCAAGATGATTATGTTAGGTGGATTAACGGGACTGTTGGCCAAAATGAACCAAGATCTAGTATTTATATATTTTACAAAATAATATAAATATTTATCTTAAGGTATGTAGACGGTTTTTTCAAATATCGGACCGGGTCGACTCATTCGGATTTTTTATAATATCGGTTACTGGCTTTTATTGTTAGAGGGTTTGAAAATGTCTTTTAGTCGTTAAAATGGGTTTAGATCTGATAAAAAATATTTATATTTTTAAAAACAACAAATCAGGCTTTCCCGGACATAAAAACTCTCTCCTTATTGGCCGAAATCTTACCCACCAATCAAATTTATACGCGTGCTTTACTTAACATTCATCCATTCTTTTCTTCTCGTCCCTCGAATCTCGATACCCTTAACAAGTTTCTTTCATCAAAAAAAAAACAAAAATTTGAAAATGATATCAAAAATTTTTTTTATTTTTTTTTATACACTTAAAAAAATATGCGAAATCATAATAATGCATTTGCAAGCGTCATTGAAGGCAAATCAGCTGGACCCGCCATTTTGGTAATCCATATAGTAATTATTCTCGTGTTAAAAACTACTTTTATATTGATAACTTGCTTCCTCATCATCTCGATGATCAGGCAATTCTTTAACAAAGCTTGCGTTCAGACATAGGAATAAATTGGCGGATTTCTCGTTTAAAATTCTTAATAACGATATGGGTAATCAAAATGACGTCTCCAGCTATTTTTCACAAAATGACTTCTCCAGCTGTTTTTCAATTGATGTACACACTTTTAATGAAATGCATCATCAGTCTAGGTATTATTATATGTCATTGGCTGCACTCCATACATACAGAAATGCTAGATTCAGTATGCTTTTATTCTAATTTTTTTTTGTCAAATATGGAATTTCTCAGCAGCTATTGCTGCCCCCAGCAGTATCTAATATTTTTGTTAAGAATTCTTAAAAAATTCGCTAAGAATTCCCCAAAGTTCGTAGAATATATTTCTGCAATTTTTGGTGGAACGGTTGTTATTTGATGCTTGGTAAATTCCATGACAAATCGACCAGCGATTCTGACGACCATTTTAAAAATGAATGAAACTTGATATGGTTGGTTAAATAGAATTGCTATATTTTATACAAATCCAAATTTTAATACCCTCTAGCTCAAATATTTCTCGAGTTATTGGGTTTTCATAAATTCGGTGAGACGCTTTTCCCCTTTTAACGTATCTCTGAATACTCGCTAACTTTTTTGGTAGCTATAGCTAATAGCGGCTACTTTTTTTGTAATTATTTAATTTTTTAGCGCGCTACTTTTTTTGAAAGTAGCTAAGTAGCCTCTACTTTGCTACTTTTAAAAAATATAATGAAGTTAAGTATAAACATGAAAATTTAAATATAATATAATTAATTATAATTTTTATTATTTAATTTTGAAATTGAAATATAATTTCAATTTGTAATTTATATTTTCAATTGTATTATAAACCTTAATCACGTGTTAATAATTTAAAATGTCATTGCCTATGATATCCAAATCGTTGAAAGTGATTTAGACAATGATATTAATGAAATGGAAGATACCAGGGAAGAAAATGTTCTTAATAGCTATAATATAAATTTCCCATTCCCTAGATTTGAAATTTTTTTAAAATAAATATATAACCAAAACTGGTTTCAAATTTATTTGTTTAAAATGTAAAAAAAAATATTTCCTTAAATCAATCATAAGCTATAACCTCAAGAAACGCCTAAAGGTAAATTGTCATTTTTACATTCTAAATTTTATAAGAGTGTTCATGAGTTTTAAGGAAATGGAGAAACATCTAAATAATTTTGGTAAAGTCTACATCCAAAAAGACTAATTCAATTCAAACCAAATTAATTAATAATGCAAATGACAATATTTCTCAGAAATTGACTGATAAAGTTATTGTTGATTTTATAATTTATACTATACACTTCAGCCAATGTCCTTAGTTGATAATCCATCATTTACCATGATGATTAAAACTCTATCCCCTGGTACAACTTATGCCTCCAGACACTAATGAATAAAATAGCGGATAACTTTAAAATGATGAAAGATGCTCTAATAGTAGAGTTATCAGAGCTATCATATATATGTACCACGGGAGATAGTTCGACACATAACAGAAGGTAAAAACTTATTTATATTTATAAATTGATCTGATTAAATATTTTTGAGCTTATTTGGGAATCACAGGCCATTAGCTAGACTCTAAGACTTTAAAAACAAGATCTGTGGCATTAGCCCTCAAAATGATAATAGGATGCCAGATATACGATATACTTGCAAATAAAATTATTCATAATCTATCTTATATTAAAAATATGTATATAAGATTAAATACTCCCTTACCCTCAAGTGCTAGTGTCAAGAGATTATTTAGTAAGGCAAAACTTATACTTTCTGATCGTCGCTCTAGACTTGGAGATGATAATATTGAAATGATTTTATTATTAAAATGCAACAAATTACCATAAATATTTAATTTTATTACATAAATTTTTTTATAATCAAAACTAACTATATTTTAATATTTATAAATGTTGATTTTTATATATTTACTATACAATAACATTATAAGCAAAAAATAAAAAATTTGTTTGTAAATTTTTTTTATAAAAAGTAGATTAAAAAGTAGCTAAAACTACCTTTAAAAAATAGCGATAGCGGTAGCACGTAACTTTTTTTAACAAATAGCGATAGCACGCTACTTTTAAAAGTAGCGTTTAACAACTCTGGTAACAAGTTATAGTAGCCCTTAAAATTCTCCTTTAAGAAAAATGCAAAAATTGTTTTTTTTAATAATCTTCAGTGTCGTTTTATTTCCGGTAAAACACAAAAATTAAATATTTCGAAAAGTACCACATTTAAAACGATGAAAATTATGAAATGTGTTTATTACCAATATTAAATTTAATTGTTTTAAGAATAAAATATTCAATTATAGAGGGCGCTTTCGGTAAAGATAATTATAATATATTTTCTTTTTAGCGGGGGCTTAAAGAAAAATGTATTTTTTTAAAAATTTTTTATAATATATAAAATAATTTTATAGAAATTTATAATGGTTATTTATAAATAAAATGTATATTTTTATTTAAAAATTCCATTTTAGTTATCTTTAAAGATAACGCCATCTATAATTGATTTATATATTCTTAAATATGTATATATATTGATAATAAAACATATTTTACGAGTTTTATCGTTGTAAACGCCCTTTTGATTTTTTATTCCTAAATTATAAAAAATTAAATAATATTTAAATTCTTATTTTCTCAATTAATATTTAAATATATAGGTAATAATAAACAAATTTCATGAGTTTCATCGTTTTAAATGGAGCATTTTTCGAAATAATTTAATTTTTTTGTCTTACCGGAAATACAATCGACACTGAAAACATTTTTGAAAACCATTTTTGAAATTTTTCTTAAGGAAAATTTTATGGGCTACAGAATGATAAATAACTTGTTACCTTAGGATCTCTAAGTTTCAAAACATAATCTTTTTTATTATCGGATTGGCAAAATGCTAAAATCTTTTTATTTGCCTATAACTCACGAACGGTTCATTCCGCTGGTATGCGGTTTAAAGATTCTGGAGGATCAATTAACGCTCTACACTTTGGCATAAATTTCGGTAATTGATCCTCACTTTTAAAGAAAAATTCCGCTTACTTCACGTTTTTAAAACGGTTATTACTCGGTTGCGGTTATTTATACCGATATTCAGCTTGGAGTTTATTAATTTACATATTGAATACAACATAATTGCCAAGTTTCAGATCTTTATCTTTTATATCTTCGGTTTTGGCAAAGTGCCAACACTTTCTTATTTTGCTCATAACTCAGAAACGGTTCATTCCGCTGCTTTCCGGATAGAAGATCAATTTCAATTAACGGGCTACACAATGATATAGGTTTTGATAATTGATCCTCAAATCGTTCCGCCAGCCTTAAAATTTCACACTTTCCTTATTTTGCTTATAACTCATTAACCTTTGATTCCGCTGATGTTTGGTTTGAAGTTCAATTAGGATCAATTAAATTAAGACTCTAAATATCGGCATAGGTGTTGTTAATTGATCCTCACATCGTTCCGCCAACTTCACGGACCTGAAGTATTTTACGGGTATGACTAAGGCTGCATTCATAGTGGAGATGGATCCGTTTTTTTACATCTGTTCCGTCAAAAGTCAATCTCATTTAAAATGATATATGTGTTCAAAGTGCGTCCGTTCCGATACCTTCCGATTTAAAATCGGGATCCGGCAAATATTATAGAGCGTTATAACGTTACTTATAATTTTTTTTAAAAATGAATATGAATTTATTGATAATATCTTTCTTTCTTTCTTTCTTTCTTTCTTTCTTTCTTTCTTTCTTTCTTTCTTTCTTTCTTTCTTTCTTTCTTTCTTTCTTTCTTTCTTTCTTTCTTTCTTTCTTTCTTTCTTTCTTTCTTTCTTTCTTTCTTTACGACAGATGAAAAATTTGCTTTATAATTATATCATTTATTATGACTTTTATTTTTTATTTATAATTATATCATTAAAATCAGAGTATCAATTTCTAATAAATCTTATTATTACTCATTGACCTAGTATTTAATTTGAATACAATAGCACACAATATTTATTTATATGTGTAAAGATATTTTAAGATTTTCAGGCAAAAGCTTTTCTTATGCAAACTAATTTTTTAAAAAATGACACATTATTTAATGACTTATGATATTTTTTTATTAAAATAAAATATATACCAATAAAGTATACAAGAATTTAATACATATAAATTTTATAATACAAAATATTGAATATATAAATATTCGTTTAATATATTATTTTGCCAAGGCAAAATATTAACATTGTTAAAATAATGAGAATAAATTTCTAATATTTTTGTTTTGATTTGAAGTATTCTTGATGCTTTGTTGGTTCCATATACTAGGAATTGTATCTCCCAATTCATAATTTGTGATGTTTAATTTTTCTTTTTCCAAAATAATATTGTGCAAAACACAACAAGCCTTGATAATGTCTTCAAAGACAGGAAGGCTCACCTCTACCTCTTTTAATAGAACTCTCCATTTGGATGTTAAAATTCCAAAACTGCATTCAACTATTCTCCTTGCCCGTGATAGGCGATAGTTAAATATTTTAGAGTTATCATCATTATTTCTATATGGCTTCATTAAAAATCTTTTTAGAGGATAAGCCCCATCCCCTAAAATAACATGGGGGACCATTATATTGGAATTGGGTATAGCTTAGGAGGTGGAATTGGGAGTTCACCACTTTCTTCTTTTTGATAAAAGTGAGTTGGAAAATACACCACCATCACTTTGGCTCCAATAGCTACCAACATCTATAACCATAAATTTCCCAATATGATCAACAAATGCTTGAAGGATCAATGAGAATCCATGCTTGTAATTTAAAAATTGGGTTCCAGAATGTGGAGGCTTTTTTGTTTTACAGTGTTTCCCATCAATGGCACCTAATAAAATATTAAATGGAATAATAAAATAAAAAATATAATTATCTTTTGCTTGAATTAAATAAAATTAAAACCTATACAGTTTGAGAAGTTCCACATTTCATCAAAGCCCTTAGCACCTTAAACATATAATAATTAGCCATTTTAAATTCATTTTTATGCTAATTTCTTGATACTTCATTTGATCTAGATACCTATGAACTGGTAATTCATATGTCACCACATATTCTTATAAACTAGGGATAGCAACCATAGAGTTAATAATAGGAGAAACAACAAAAGCTTTATGGGATATTATGCAACCCATCCATATGAAGGTCCCAACATTGGAGACTTTGAACACATATATCATTTTTAATGAGATTGACTTTTGACGGAACAGATGTAAAAAACGGATCCGTCTCCACTATAATGCAGCCTTAACATCATAAAAATTATCAAGACACACTACTAGAATCTTTTTGTCACTTTCAAAATTAACAATAAAGTTTCTCCACACAAAAAGGGGATAAACAAGGGTGTTGTTTCCTCGTTGCTGTTTAATATTGTCATGAACAAAATTATAAAAGATACGTTGGGAACTGCGAATCTTTTAGAACTAAGGTCTATGTGTTACTTAGAGATTGGGGTGATATGAAATATACTCACTATTTTCATACGCATGTAATTATAAAACTTGAGGTCATCTTTAAGTAATTTTGGCAGCAAAGTAAAATTTGCTCCCTCCTTTCTTCTTTTCGAATTAACTATATTTTTTTTCTTTCTTGAATAAGATCATATATCACTTTTTATAATTTAAGTAAAGATTATTGGTTCATTTTAAAAAATAAAATAATGTCTAAATCTGTCTTAAGTCGAAACGTTAATAAAAAATCACTATGAAAGCCTTGTCGGATGCCTTCAAATTAATTGTTTTGACGTGGGATCCGTATCCACTATGAATGCAGCCTAATAAATGCTGTATTGCTAAAAAACAATTAACCATAATTAATATAAATTTTATTATACAATATATTTTTTTAAAGCCGAACTATGAATATATTTAAACCAATCTTTTATAAAATAACAAATAAGATAAATTTTATTATGTAAACTCGCTAATGATTGGATGCTGGCTTTTATATTCTGAAAATACAATTTCACTACATTTAACGATGTGAAAGTTTATTAAAAATTTTAATTTATATTGCTCGAATCAAGCAAGATGCATGATAAAATAATAAAAATGTTTTCAATTTAATAAATATACCCCCAAAAGAGGGCGTTAATTATATTAAGAAACCCGAATGATTATTGATTGGCGTTTTTTTAAAAAATATATTGGGTTTGGATAATGGAAAACGTAAAAATTAAAAATAAATGAGAGGTTTCTTTGACATTTAATTCATAAGTAAGTTTAGAATCGAAAAATAACCGCAACCTTCTAAGTCACATATTGCTGACTTTTTGATGGAAATCTCTTCATCTTTCTGCTTATATTTAAGTGTATACCATTATCACAAAAAATATTGTGATTTGACCAATTGACTAACTCAAAACCGACCACTTGAATAAGTGTTATTCTGTTTTTTTAAATTATAAATTTAATTTTTAAGTATATTTTTATATCTGCAAAAAAGATGATTATTACATTTCTAATTAGACGTCATTTTTTATATCTGAAAAAAAGTTTTGGTATATCTCTAATTAAATATAATTGCTTTTTGTGAAATATTTGTTGTGCAAGTAATAACTATCTCTTGATACGAAGTCTATAGAAATTGCATATAAGTTCGCACAGAATAGCTTAATATTGAACATATTGATATTATAATTATTAATAATTGTAATATTTTTTAAATATATTATAAATCAGTTTAAATATGCTGCACATTTTTTAGATTTCCTAAAAAGGATTAATAAGCCATTTTTAAATATAGTATAGGTAATTCTTAATAAATTTATCAATAGAATAGATCAAAAATATTATATCTCTAAAAAGTGTTTGGCAATAATTATAATTTTTTTTATATAAAAAATGGATTTATTTTATTAAAATCAAACTTTATAATATATGTAAAATATGGCCTGGAGAAAAATAATTCTTGAAACAGTTATAAACCAAACATGCAGTCATAAAAACAATATATATATACTAGAGGTTTTCAATGCCTGACCCATGGGCTGAGTAACTTCAGTTTTTTATTTGAACTGGACTTAAAATATTATTGGTTTGAAATATTGCTAAATTCTGATAGAAGTGATAATCCCGAAAGTGCATTGTTCATAATAACTACTCCTCAATATTATAAATAGCTGATTATTTTAGTTTACAACTATATATATTTTAGGTTGGGTTTTGTATTTAAAAAAACCAGGCTGGGAAACCTTAATAAAAAATTGAAATGGTCCAGGCTTAGCCAGGTAAAAATTTCAGGCTAGGCTGGGTAAAATCTAAATAACAAAAGGTCATAATTTTGCCATTTACCAACCCCTAAAATATACTTTCAAAATAGTTAATAAAAAACTGAATTTTTTGGAAATATCAAGAAGATCCAATATTTCTTAAAATGCTATATATTGCTCCCAATCTGATATCTAATATGGGCATAGGCCTATTATATAAAAATATTATTCGCATATTGAAGTGCATTACATACAGACTTTACTAAATAATATTTAAGTATAGTCAGATTATAATTAAAAAATTATTTATTTACAACTCAAGGTACAAATTTCAGTTATCTAAATATTTATTAGAATTATATATTCATTTAATATATTTTTAAAAAATTATTATAATCTATACTTGATTTGATTAAAAAAATTTAACACCTTCTAAGTCTTGCTGAATAATTATTTCAGCTTTTTTTTGAGCTTCTAATTGTTTTAGAATTTGCAAAAATAGGTTTTTTGGCATTCCCCAAAATTCATTTATAGCAGAAAAATTGTTTACAGGGGCCTCAATCATTTCATAAAAGGTACAAACAGTATTTTTTAAGCCTTTATTCATGGCCCATTTATATATAACATTGGCCCATTCTTCAATACTGTACCATAATACATATCCACCTTTTGTTTTATTATGCCTGTCATGCCATCTAAAATTTCCTTTGATATATAATTCATCTAAAATTAGGATAATGCCCTCTTCTGATAAATTTCTATTAATGGTGTGGTTTTTAAATAAGATAATTTTGTTATCATATTCCAAATTAATAAAATGTGAAGAAGGTTCATGCTTAGGATTTAATTCAAAGCATTTAAAATGTTTACAATAAGATAATACAAATTGAACCCATGAATCTAATTGCTTTGTTCTGGTATTTTGATTTAATTGTATAGTGTAATAAGGTGGAAACTCATATAACCATGGAGTTTTAAATTTATCTACATTGTTTGACATGAATTGAATCAAAATTTACAATAAAAAATAATAGGTGACATGACAGGTAATATGTATGAGCTGTCAAGTTTCCCAATTTTGACATTGTGTCATACCTGACTGCTTTATATCATTTTTTATTCTTTGAGAATAAAAACAATCAAACCAATTACAGTATTTAATTTTAAAAAAACCCTTTACTCTAGGAAGAAGAAGTATTTATTTTTAATAGTATCTATAATTGTTTTTTAGTTTGATCAAGATACGCTATCTATCGCTCTTCTCTATAATCTCAATCCATCCCAATATAGTAAAGATGTTGTAAATGCCATTAATTTTATTTCTAGAGTAATTTTATTTAAACTCCTTTTTTAATTTTGTCTCAGGTTATACATCCTCATAAAAGACACTCAAAAGATTTTTTGGATAATATTAAGTTATTTATAGAAGAAAAATGTATATGCTTCATGCAGAAATGAAATTGGTAAAAAATTATGGTTATTATTCATAAGATAGAAAAGAAAAATATCCAATTTTTTAAAAAACTTAAACATTGATATTTAAAAATTATAAAAAGAAAATAAAATTATATATAATTTTTTAAAAAAAATGATAAAACACTAAAATATTAAAACAACTAAAAATATATAAAATTACTAAATAAAAATATATATTAATTGTGTCGAAGGCTCTAAAAATAGCTTAATTTAATAATGAAAATGTACCTAAAAAACAAGTATAATTGTGTTTAATAATTTTCAATTGAGGTTTTTGTTTAAGAAATAAGGATTCACGATTTTCAAACCCCAATTTGATATTTTCCTTAATTGTTAACTTATGTTTCTTGTGAAATGTTAAATCCATATTTTATTGTAATTGATATATATGCATTTTTGATTTAATTTAAAATAAAATATTTTATAAAAATTTAAATATGTTAGAGGTCTTTAAAAGTAAGTTGCTATGACTGATTTATAATAAAATTATTATTTTTTGGATCTGATTGGGGTCTAAATTTAAATATTCTAATTTTGCGCTTAGTGGGCCCACCCTGTTTTGAACACTACCATACTGTTGTAATATGTAAATAAACTTATATATTTTTTTTTAATATGCAAAATTACTTACTGAATTTATTTTGAAATTTGTTAAAAGAGAAAAAGGGCTCTCATTGAACTTTGAAGAGTCCATAACTCAGAATATCTTTAAGCTAGAGCACATTAAATTTCTTATTTGTATAAAATATGCAATTTTAACCTTCATGCCAAGTTTCATCCGTTTTTTAAGAATGGACATCCAAAAATCACTTTATTTTTGGTCGATTTGTAATAGAATTACCCTTCTGCGAATATATCTGTGCATCAGTAGTCCCAAGCAAAGGGCTCCGGTTATCTATCACACTTATGCATTTATTTTCTCCTAGGTTCAAGAGTTGATGTATGCTTTCCTTATTTTAAGGCTAACATATTAGGTAATTTGTAATTTTGTGTCTGAGTGACAGTCTTTTAGAGTATCTAACTGGAGAGGGTGGTGTCCATTGGATGCAACCAACAAGTATTAGAAAGCGTGGAATGTAGTAGTAGTAGCTATGGGATAAGTAGGTCGGACATTAATATAAACACTGGCTCGAGTTTTTTACCAGAACATGATCAAGTCATTCATCGCCTTTTTTTTATGAATTCTAGAATGTTCATTGTCAAAGATTGCTCAGGAACTGAGTATCAGTCATTTCGCGAGGACAATTGGGAAGGAAATTGAAGGATCAGGACATCAAAATTTGTCCAAGCCTGATTGGGGGTTGGGGATTTCCTATAAACTGGGTTCATCTTATAACACCAATCTTGATGATGCAAAGCAATAAAGTGAGAGCCATAAGATGGAAGGAAAACCAATGCCCCCAAATTTACTGATGTAAGATGGCCTGTAGCTAAGATAGAGGTAAAAGTCGGGTTAAGGAGTTCTTCCAGAAAGACCCTGAGTTTGTCTTCATGATCACTGAGCATTTTGACATGGGCTAATTTTGGAGTCCATGAGGGAAGGCACATTTAAATTATTTTTGTATACTTTGAATTATACAAACTTCATATCCGGGCCTAATTTTTCGAACTCGGTCCGGCTCGAATTTAGAATAATTACTATCCGACCCGATTCCCATCGAATTTTTTGTTATTTTCCCAAAAAGATCGACTCGAAATAAAATTTATTTTTTTTGCGCGCCATAACCTGTCCGAATTTATTTAAATATAGAAAATATTTATTTATTTTTTTTTCGAATTTTTTGATCATTCTCTCTTACAAACATTGGAAAATATTGGCGCCTTTATTTCCTTGCAACAAAAAAATTTTTTTTTATTTAAACCATATATCAATTTTATTTCAAAATATAAGTAACCCGGCCCTAACCGAGAATATATTATTTTTTAATTTTTTAAATATTCGGTCCCGACTAGTGTTGTTAAGCGGCCCGATTATAGCTCATTCTTAGAAACGGTTCTAACTCAATATTTTACCCAGAAAAAAAAATATTATAACCCGCAAGCCCGAAGATTTTGGTCATGGATGGCCGCTAAGAGTTGGGCAGCGGAATCTCGAGGGCTTAGGAAATATTGAGTTAGCTGTCTTCAGAAACCGGCTCGAATCGAACCGTTTAACAACACTAAGCTCGACCCGATCTTACCCTATCCAATTTTTTTAGATCCTCTAATTTAAAAAATTCTCATTCAAAAAGCAAAATAGCAGCCAAGCACGTCAATCCCAAATATGCTGAATATTTGGGTATCCATCAGCCTCAAAGTCGTTCCTATGGCCGGATCGCTTTAGACTCCGATTTCTTCAAGTGCCTTCTCAAAGGGTACTGCCTTCAATACTCTCGCCAATACAAACCCAAGAATTTGGAAAATGAAGGTTTTTTTAAACTTTTTTTCTATTTTGCTTTTCTGATATCCACCATTAAATTATAAAACGGATCCGATAATTTTCGGAACGTTCCGAGATATCCCTATATTTTTTTAGCCGGAAATGGAATCGTTTGCCACTTTTTCGGCTCCCGATAAACTTTCCCTCGTCACTGGTACGGGAATGATTCTCCTCTCTACCAAAACCTAATTTACTATTTTTCATATTAATGTTCGATAGCTAGATAGTAGATGAGTCGTCTGATCAGTATTCTATATTGTGAAGCATTATTTGATAAAATTACATCTAAAATTTTCTTTAAATCGTCTATATCTGCTATTCATAATTACAGATAATAATAAATTTTTTTTAATTTAAAGATAGAATTTATATGAGTCGCTGTACATCAAGCAACAATACAAGCTCATCTATTAATAAAAATAGCTTATTTCTTTTAAGATTCCCTATCACGAATAAAATTTTATTGTCAAAATGGATAAAGGCAAAGAATAAGTAAAAATTTCATTCCTAATTAATGTGCAATGCTTTGTGGAGCTCGTTTTAGAGCTGATTGTTTTGTACCCTCAGTTACAGGGTGAGCTAATCTAAAGGATGGTTCCTGTACCATCCATTTTTAATTCCAGATCCCTTCAAGGACGTATAAATATTAAATATATATTTAATAACTCAGCCAAACAAAGGAATATATGTGCATAGTGGCTCAATCCTTAAACCAATTTTAATCTTAAGCTCTCATCTTTGAGAGTGTTAAGAAAGCTGGCAGATGTTTTCTTAAAATATAAAATTTTTATTGCTATCCATAAAGTCAAAATATTCCACTGATGAATATAAATTATTTTAATAAATAAGACTCACCAGGATTATTATCTCTAGCAGGCTCTTCCAAGCCTTCCGCTTCTAGAGTATTACTAAGGATTTATAATTTTTTCTTAAATATTATTGATCTTTTTATAAAATTAATAATATTTTAGTTATGGAGTAAATATTGGCAGCATATGTATGATGATTTTTTTTCTATACAAATACTTTTTATAAGAGTATTATTTCTATTCTATGGAATAATTGTTATCTTAAAAAATATATATATCATTTAGAATAGATAGAAAAATATTGTTATCAACTATTTGCAGCAGTGGCATTGCTGGTTCCTCAACTTAAGAAGACTTACTTATATTAGAAATTGAGAATTATTATCCCGAAAGATTATGGTTATTTTATTTAAAAATGAGTGAGATTAAAATATCTAACAGCTCCCAAAAAATAAATTTAAATTTCAGTGGGCTTTCCAAGGTTTTAGGATTGAGCCCACTATGCATTTCCTCTATTTGGCTGAGCTAAAATTTTAAATATATATTTAATATTTATACACATTGAAGATGCCTGGAATTATAAATAGATGGAACAGATCCTTCCTTTAGATTAGCATACCCTATAACCGAGGGTTTAAAACAATATGCTCTAAAATGTGCTCCACAAAGCCTTTCTACATTTAGTAGGAAATGAAGCTTGTATTGTTGCATGATGTACAGCGGATCATATCAATATATCTTTAAATTCGAAAAGATAATTGTTATCCGTGATTATGAATTGCAGATATATACAATTTAAGGAAAATTTTAGATGCAATTTTTATCAAATAAGCATTACGATAATAGAGTCAGATATGAAAACACGAACTGAAATGTTCATAAATAATGTACTATTTTTAACAGATCATGGTATGAACTAACTATTTGAAAATAATTATTATAAGTAAACTTAAACTAAACTAAGTAGTTAAAATACACAAAAACTCGTTACTTTCTGATTGAAATATTTTGTCATATGTCATTAGGCAATGCTCTCATCTGTAACAGCCACATTTTCCCATCTGTTGTTGTTTAATTTTTGACGTGGTTACTATCTATTTTCAAACATTTGCATTTATGCTTTATTAATCTTTAAATTGAATTTTATTTTGCTTATGTTGAAACGGGTAAATATCAGATTTTCATCCACGTTTATGTTATATTCTTCCATGCCAATCAAATCCAACATGTTTTCGATACATATTTTCTGCCTCATCAATTTCTTCGGACGACTACATCCCCTCAGTTATCGGAACCTTGGTATTAAAAATGTTGAAATTTCAGAGGCCATGCCCACCCATAGTTTAAATTCTTAACCGTCCATTCTGTAAAATATTTAACTCACTTGTCCCGTGCGGGCTAAAAGCCTGACAAGCCAACCTCTAACAGGCGCTATTCACGAGCATCAGCCAATAATGTAGATACCAAATATGACTGCAACTGCCAAAAGTTATATTTTATTTTTAATTATTTTTTTGCTCCTAGCGGATTCAAACGATGAACCGGAAATGGGAGCACTATCCAATGAGTGTCCCGAGAAAATGATCCAATATCTGATTGAAAATATGGCGGCTCTGGGACTGAGCCCAGACATATCTCACTTCGGGGTGCTCGCGATGGCGTGTAAAGACCTGTATTCGGCTCAGAACTTGCTATCCGATTTGCTAGTAAAAATTTTATTCATTTATTTTATCCTTCTATTCATTAAATCTGCTATCACGTTAAAAAATGTTAATTTTTTGTTTTTGTTTGTAAGAATCGCGTTATCTACAACTGGTGGTTAATATTCCCATATCATTTTTTCTTTTCAAAAGGTCTTTTTTTATTGCGATGAACTGTCATTTTCTCTCTAATATGCCAGTCTAAAATAATATTTATATTTTATTTTTTGTAAATAGGAATTGAAACTGACCCCCAATTTAATCATCGTGACGTCATTGATGAGTAACGCCTGCCGATCCTTCGATTTATCCTACATGTTTCTCTGCCTGGAAACGTGTCAAAAATTCGATATAGTTCCCGATAGACAGCTATCGAATTTGATTCACTCTACTTGTAAGAGGATCGACAAGGCTTATATCAGAAAAGTAATCTTTTAAAAATAAATTAGAAATACTTTCCTTTTTTTCACTAGCTTTTTTAATGAAGGATTGATAAAGCTAAAAATACGAAGAAATCTTATGACTCCACTAATAAAATAAAACAATTTATTTGTATACTACCTTGATTCACTTTAAACCATTCTTAAATTTTTAAAATGACGATTATTAAATTTTTTTTTAGAAATAGAACGAAATATTAATTTTAAAAAGATAAACGTTTTTTTTAGTTCTCTTCAAAAAAAAAATCCCACAAATTTGCCCCCGATATATTATTATTGAATGACGTTTTAGTTAAAATTGATTACTAAGCTGCTTCGTGAGGTCTCTAGTTTAGCTCACAACAGAATTCCAAAATAAAGTTATATTTTCATTATTTTTAACGATGTATGTTTTAAAATAATGGCCCCCAATATGTCTCATATTGGTTTCTATAAAGGATTAAAGTAAGCAATCGACACATAACATACCATCACATTAAAATATATACATATACATATTTTTATCTCTCAGCTATCTTTTTGTAGATTTTGATTTAATGTTGAGTTGCTTTATCATGATGAAACATGAACAAACCCAATGATATTTTAACTCAGATTGACGTTTTCTTTCGATGTGTTAAAAACATGGTAAATCAGTCAATGGACGCCACTTTATTTTCCGCACATAGATTAAATGGCATGAATCTATTTAATCTTTGAAATTGAAATTCTTTTCGAATTTCAACATCAGCTGTTACACGCACATTTAATTGCCATATTGAATTTATCTTTATTAAATGTTTAATGCCTTTGGTTTAGTCCCCTTTTTAAACAATAAACTTAATATAATATTAATTGTATTTCATCTATTTTTCGACATGTTTCGATAATACAAATTTTTGCGAGTTATCATAATTTAGGTTTAATCAGGGTTGATACAAAGATATATTACTAAATTCTACGATGAAAATGTAGACGGGTTATAGCTAGAAATAGATTTATTCCACATAACCTATAAACACGTGTTGCTGAAGAACAGCCGCTAAGCATTGGGATGCGCGTTAACTAATTTACGCTTTCTTTGAAGTCGAGTTAAATTTTTAGAAAAAAAGATGCGAGAATGAGATTGATAGTTTTCTCTGCTATAAAGCTTCTTCTTTCCGTGTCACGAAAAAGCAAACGTGGCGAAGCGGAAGTAAAAGGATATGATTTTTTTTATATCCCTATAATAATAATAATTCCCTAATTAAAAAAAATAACAAAACACAAATGGCGTCCTTTAAATCGATTTTTAAAAAGGGGGAATTTTATCTATATACAATATATAAAATTGAGTAACCGGTCAAAAACCGGTTATTTACCTAAAATATAAACTTCAAACATCTTATTTTATTCTTTACTTTTTTCTTAATTTTATAAAAATCACAGGAATACAGCAATAAATTCCCTTCAAAATCCGCGTCTACCTTATACGACTTCATCGACGATATGTGCTACGACAAATTATTTAAACGCGCCAAAACGGCTTCCAAAACCGAAGATTCTTATCCTAAATTCCGCGAAAATTTTCGGGGCTGGATTAAAAACCCGCGAAACATTTAATAAATAAATAAAAAATATATTTATTATTAACAATACGGTGTTTTTTAAAAAAAATCTATATTTGGTTTTGTAGAAAGTGGAAAATTCTCCCCTTCCTTGTTAGAAGCATCTGATCACCCTTTTGATCCCTGGGCACCTAACCCTAGGAAGTATTTGTTAAAAATACTTGTTAGAAACATCTGATGACCTTTTGATCCCCAAGAACCTAACCCTAGGAAGTGTACATTTGAAAATAAATAATCGGCAACTATTTCTAATCCTATTTTCTTTATTCAACTGATTAATTATATAAAATTATATTAAAAAAATATTAAAATTAAGTTCCTTTGCAAGATTGGTAAAATTTTATTTTTGAAGAGATTATTTATCAGAATTATATCTTGCATGAAATAAAGATACTCTGACAATATATTTCAAATTAAAAACTTACTAACTTTATAAATGAGTATTTCTTTATAAAAAAAACATAAAATATTATAATAAATATTTGTTCCATCTCGCAAAAAAATTAATATAAAATATTTAAACTATCATTATGGGGGGAGAGAGGCGGGGGGGTGATTGAAAAGATCACATATGGAGTTTTAAACTATTCATTTGCTGCCCATATTATTCAACAATTCACCTTTGAAACAATTCGCAAAAATATTGTCATTTATTTTTCAAATTAGCAACATTTTTAAAATTCCGAGTTAAAATAAAGGGATTTAAATCATTTTAACCTCTAGATATCTGATAATAAATCTATTTCTATATCAATAGTATTTGAAATATTTATTAACTGTTTTTGTTAGCATGTTCCTATGCCTCACTCATGGGCTATTTTTAAGGGGTGGGGTTCCATTGTGTACCATTTTTTATCATTAAAAATTAATTTTAAAACCAGATTTTGCACAAAATTTAGCCATAATCTAGGTTTTATCCATAAGGAATTGTAAGATATCGTTTCATTTTAACTTCTTTTTTTTACCCAAATCATCTGAAAATTTAATTTGTATTATCTCTACCTTCCCCCATCTAACTTATTGAGAGTTAGGTATCTTATTAGTTTACTTAAATATTAGAATGAGAGATTTTGGTAATAGTGAAATATTTTATAAAATGTTTAAAGATGAAACTGGAGATCATAGGTCGTCCCTATAGTCTTATCATAAATATTTCGTTTACTCTCTCTATTAATATCACTTTGATATATTTAGGAATATTTTTTCCTGTATTCAATGATCGTATCAAAAATATTATGATTATTTGTATAATTGCAACAAGGTTCTAATTATTGATTGCTTAGTGCTTCAAGGGACCTTCAGTCTAGTCTAAAATATAAAGGATAATTTCAACTATTCAATTATATTTAAAATAAAATAACTTGTATAAAAGTGGTTATATAGGATGTCACCTTTAGATTAGAACTATATTTGTTCAATTATCCCCTGAGATTTAATATTTAAGCAAAAATAATTTTCTTATAAAGAGGGACCTTGTAGAACACTTAGCTGCACACTATATTTATTTGATTCCTAATTAAGATTTAATAAATACGATAATCTAAGAATAATCAATGTTACGAGTTCAATTTTATTTAATTTAGAATAAATCAAAGTTACGAGTTTAATTTTATTTAATTTATTTTAAAACTAAAAATATCATGCTTATATAGCGTGTTACAAACAAAAAATCAATTTACATATTAATATAATAATTTATATAAAAAAATCAATTTTCACAATTTATATAAACACAAAAATACAATTTAAAGGTTAGTATTAATCGGTCATATTTTTTTGTTAAGTTTAAAATTGCATTGTTTAATTAATTCTTATATAGTATTATCATAATCATCCTCGACCATATTCACAAATTTATCTAGTATATTCCCAAAAACTGTTATCCAGGTCCTTCCTAACAGTGCAATCTTATCACTCTGGATTACATAAGCAGTTAAGATTTGACTTTTGTCCTCGAATTTTGCTTTGACTTTGGTAGTTCCTAATACATTTATTGTGTTTCCATCATATCCAGTTAATTTAATATCTGATTTATTTAAGATTTTTACTCCAATCTTTTTCGCGATATGAATAGGTAGGATACTATACATTGAGCCGGTAACAATCTGCATCAAAATAGGCATGTCGTTCAAATATACCTTAACCTTATATGCATCGTTAGCTGTGTAATTATTATCAGTATCCATATTGTTTATGTCTTAATTGTATAAATTATATTCTTTTCTTTTTAGTTTGTCATTATCATCTTCTTTTATCTCTTCTATATTTACAGTGTTTACTTTATTTGTATCGTGACTGATTATTATCGTTGTTATGATATTTACAATTGCATAATTGATTTCTTCCTTGATTTCCAATATTATAATTATCGTTATGCCTGTATATAAATCTTGAATCGTTATAATGTCTGTTATATCTGTAATTATAATTATTATTAATATAACCTATAATTATTTTAGCTATTGTTATTATAACTAATTATTGTACGATCCTAGATAGTTTGCTCTGACGTTGTTGTAATAATTCTGTATATTCTAGGGTTGTAATTATTTCTTTGAAAGTCATGGCCTCTTGTTGTCTGTTATCGTAATTAGATTATAAATTTTGTCGTTCGTCATGGTCTCCATATCACCAATTGTTTATTTTCTTCTGTTTTACTGCCTCTTTGCGTTTCTACATGTTTCACGGTTGTATCATCTTCTCTTTTTTCGTTTAAAGAAATATTTTCAACTTTAGAAATTATATTTTTGATGTACTTTGCGATCGGGTCATGATATTTTATTAATAAAAATTTCAAAATTATTTTTAAACATAAAAAAGATTAATCAAGATTTTCAAAATTATTTTACAGAAAAAATAAGTATATCAAAACTATAAAAAATTCGTCCCTTTTATAGGGAAAATAAAAGGCGCAATTATAAATTAAAATTAAATTGGCGCAAAGTGAAAAAAAGAACGTTTTTGTGGAATCGAGTTGTGTTAGTTTTATCGTACATAATTGGGGATAAAACCTACCCCCCTAAACTTCCCGAAACTCAAAATATACCTTGGGATGCAGGGTGGTCTCCCGGACCCAACGGTCTAACTCATATTTTCGGATCACCTTACTGAGGACTCCTAAAGTAAGAAATACAGTAAAGTGAGAGAAAACACAAAAGCCATATGTGTTAATCTCACTGTGTTTAACTTAAAACAAAAATTACCAAAAAAAAGAAAAACATTTTTTAACTTTCATTTTATGATACACAAAGGAGATGGATAAAAACTTTAATTAATTTTAACATAAACAAAAGAAGGGGATAAAAAACTTTTACATCTTACACATAATAAAAGAGGGGGATAAAAAAACTTTTTTATCTTTAACATAATAAAAGAGGGGGTTTAAAGAAAAACTTTTTTTTTATCTTTAACACTCCTCCCCCCCTAAATAGGCCACGGGGAGGGGGGATGATCCCGCTCTCGACTTAGCTTAAAAATTTTAGAATTATTACGAGTTCCGAAAACCGTCCCAACAAAAAAAACACAACCAATTCCCACAATAAACAAAAATACGTAACTGAAATACTAAGAGTGACTAATAGAACGCCCTAGAAAGTATAACTGAATTATCATTATAAAACTAATTAACCCTCCTCCCCCCCTAAATAGGCAACGGGGAAAGAGGAATGATATATATTGACTGGGAAAAAAAAATAAAAAAAAAATATTTATAGTTTATAAATTGAATATTTGGGGAAAACGTTTAAATTTATGAAAAGAGGAGGAGGGAAAAAAAAGAGTAATTAATTGTTCGATTTATCGGGAAATCGTCTTTTTCGGATTTGCTTATCATAGAAGCTCTGTAATTCAAGTTTCGTTTTTCTTTGACATAACTCATTGCTAATGGTATTTTGCAGTGGTTGGCTTGCTTGGCTAGGTTGGATACATTTTGGTTGGTCTTCTGGTTTTACACGTACGTTAATAGAAATTGGAAGTTCTCTTAGAATATCGTCGGTAATATAGGGGATCTTTGAGATTAGTTTTGTAGTGTTCTTTTTTGTGAATATGTTTGATATAATTGAGGGAAAAATTTCTATTACATCCCTGCCTATAATAGGGTTGTAATCATTTTTGGTGATTACTATTGTTATGTTTGCCGATTGTTGGTTATGTATTATTTCGGTATTTATTGTGCCTACTATAGGAACCGGATGTCCTGAATACGAATTTAATTTTATGGTAGGTTTAGTTACATGAAGGTTTTTAAACTGGGCGTTATATAAATTCTCTCCTATGATGGTAATGGGTGAACCCGTATCAACCTCCATTATTATTGGAATTTTATTAATCTTTACGGAAGCTCGATAGGCTTCGGGTATGGTGTTTTCAATAATATTGTCGACGAGCAGGGATGTGGTGTTTGGAGGGGGGTCTTTTGTAGGGATAATTTCTATAGTTAAAGAATTTATCGAATGCTGATTTGAAGGATAGCTTTCAAGCTGTTCTATTGCATTTACCACATTGTTCGTTATCGCTTTCTTCGTTTCGGGTTGTAGGGCGGGTCTCATACAGTTTCGCTCTAAGTGACCTATTCGTCCACAATTGTAGCATTTGGGGGTTTGATATTGTTGCCGGTTATATGGGGGCCATTGAGAGGAATTGTTCGTGGGATATTGGTATTGTGGGGTTTGGTGATACGGGGGCACATAAGATGAATTGTTGGAGTGATTTGGGTATTGTTGTTGTTGGTTGTATTGAGTCCAATGCGATGAATTTTTGGTTGAATAATTGTCTCTATGGGTAGGTTGAGCGTTTGACTTGAATGTTAGGTGTGTATGAGTATCCTGAGGTGGGGGAATATCATAATTTCCTCCGTCTGATGTTGACCAGGATTCGATAAGCTCCTCGGTTTTTGCTATTTCCACATATTCTTGGAACTGAGTAGGGGGTAGCGATAATAACTTGCGTTTTATTACTGTTGAATAAACGCCAGACATAAATTGAGTAGCCATAAATAAATCGTGGCTCTCCTTTAAATCGCAATTGTGGGCGATTTCGACCAGGGCTTCCGCGTACTGGGTTATTGATTCGTGGAGATGTTGAATTCGATTCCTTAGTCGGTAGCGGGCTTGATTGGGTGGTTCGGCGAATTTGTCGATTGATTGATTAATTTTTAGAAACCCTTGGGTCTCTATTGACTCTGGATAGAACGTATTTTTTAATTTGGCAAATAATGTTGGTCCGCAGTAAGTTAGAAATAGTATACCTTTCTCTATATCATCGGATATATTCGTTGTTTGCAAACGAAACCGGTGTAAATAATTACACAAGGGTTCCGAAGCCGAATATTCGTTGATGTTGAGCGGTCTGAGCCCCCAGGGCGCCAATGATGTACTTTGCGATCGGGTCATGATATTTTATTAA